CTCCAAACCCCACAGATCCAGAGCACTCTATTATCACAGTCAGATTTTTGCCATAACTCTTTCTCCCTGTCAGCACACAAACTCCATGCTTGATGTTTCAGCTCTTTGGAATACAAAAACATCAGTTCACAATGTCTTAAATTTTATTTATTCTGAAGCATTGTTTCATGTTTATTTGAGCAAATGCAAGTTTTAAATCTTGGATCATGAGTATCATGCTGAATTTTCTTCTTGCTATAGTATTTATTCTGTAGATGCTATGAGAGAAAGCAAATACATGTTTGAGTGCTGCAGGGTGTAAGATGAATGCTCTGGCAACACAAGAGTTGATGTGTTGTGTGACTATAGAAAAAAACAACGTCTGACTATAGAAAAAAACAACGTCCTAGAGACTGAAGTCTGGGATTATTTTTTTTTCCTCTAAAAAAGCATCTGTATGATTTTTAAAAACATGCAGTTTACAAGGTAAGTTTGTGTTTTGCAGAACAGTAAATTATTTTAAAGCACTTTGGTTGTAAACATCTGCTCTTAAGCTCCAAATACATGAAAAACAAGATGTAAATTCATGTCTCATGGCATTGCCTGTAGAGCACACTTTTCTTACAATAGAAAAAAGCATAAATGTAGATATCGATGGTTTCAAATTTACAACAGAGCCAACTGACACAATACACATTTAAGACCGTTAACTGATAACATACATTAACTCATGCAAGTAATTTTGCTGCATAGTTTTTAAGCGATTTCTTTCTTTCTTTATTACACTGACTGATGTTCAGTGCATATTCTGCTTTTTCTAATAGGCCCATAGGATTTCCTGGAACTTGTGTTTAAACTAGAAATAAAACAAGCTTATTTTCTGAAGCTCCTAGTAAGTACAATATACAGTGGGCTTCAAAATGATATGTTGCACTTCTTAACACCTAAATTACTAGCGAGGATTTAGAATACCACTACATTCTATTTCACTGCAAATAAGTGAATTTTCATCAGGACTGATCGATTTAGACACAGGAAGTGTTTGTTAATTTCCTTATTTCAGTTACCTAACATCAAAATTCAGACAGTACAAAAATTAACATTGCAAAGGACTTCATTAAGGCTCTCAGTTAATATTTTGATTCAGCTGCCCTTCTAAGTTATTTTTTCTTTATGACACATACATTGCTAGTATTCCATCTTCACATAGACAAAAGTCAGATAACATAATTAAAATTTATGTTTCCTAATTGCTCCACAAAAGCCAAAGTATAAACATTAACAAGAACATACTTTAAATTACCCAAAAGAAGATCTCAAAAAACCCAGACCTGCCTGCTTAATAATGTCAGGCTTATTCGTATTATGTATCATAACAGTATTACAACCATCTCTGAGAAAAAATAACTTTAAATTTCCTTTCCTTATTTTTTTAGACATTTTATACTAGCTCTCTACTTAGACACTAGTCTGTGGTACAAAAGCCCATATAAGCCTGTAACACACTGTAGAAATATTCAAAGCTAGAAGCCCTTATTTCGGGATTCCTCAGTGTAGATCCTGATGACCTTATTTTACAAATACCTTCTGTAAGACAGGATTTGGCTTCAGATGCCAGATATATTTTTTTAATCTTCTAGCCCTTGAGAACTGTCCTCCTGCTGTAACCTGCAGCAAAGCCCACTTTGTTTCTTCACAAAGGAAAATTAGAAAACCCACTCGTTGTGCATCCATGCTTAGCTGGCAAGTCAGCTCTGACGACACAGCCTTTGCCTATCTGGACTGAAGTAGCCCACAGCAGGCAATGACCAAGCAAGGAAACATTTAAGCCTGTTTCAGTACTGAAGAAACAAAGCTCTTATAGGAGATTTGGAATTGTGTCAGCAGGTCTTACAAGGGTCTCGTGATCTATAAAAGGATGCTCTGATGCTCCAATTAAAAAAAAGTTGATGGAAAAAGTTCAGCTTTATGTAGCACAGAACCCAGCCTGCTCTTCTGTAATGGCCTGAGCCCAATGAGGTTTCACTGCAACACACTGCCGTGAGTTTTGTAGGGGTTTTTTGGGTTTGGTTTGGTTTTGTGTGGTGTTTTGTTGTTGTTGTTGTTTTTTCTTAGTTGTCAGATTATTTAACAAGAACATACTGGGCCTGGCTGTTAAAACAAAAAGGACAGTAACCCAATGCTTTTTTTTTTTTTTTTTTTTTTTCTTTTTTTGCCCTCCAAAAATATCTTCAATATAAAGATAACATGACAGTGAGAATGACAACTTAGAACTCAAGTGGGATTAAAACGCTGAGTTGAGATCTTGAAAGGTGAGATCTTGAATAGAATTTAATATTTTGAACTTCACAGAATATCCACGGGAAAGATAAAGAATGATAGAATGGATAGTACTCACCAGTGAATACCATCCCCACATAAACTTTTACAGGTAGTTTCAGAATTATTGTAGGAAACCCAGAATTTTCTATTGTAAATCTGTTGGAATACTTCAGAGATGCATGAGGAATTTATCACTATTTCTGAACTGTACAATTTCATTTTTTTTTAAGGTAATAATAAACATGGAAGATAGTGAGGGCTAGTGGGGCAGTCTGACAGAACAAAACATTGCTTCCCTGGGAACATTTATGTTCCATAAACCCACCCAAAAAAGTTAGCACAGAAGAGCTATGTTATCTTTAAAGACCCAAACACAAATGTATGCACACCTCCACCCACCCAACAAGTAGTGTTCTATCTTCAATATAAAGATAACATGACAGTGAGAATGACAACTTAGAACTCAAGTGGGATTAAAACGCTGAGTTGAGATCTTGAAAGGTGAGATCTTGAATAGAATTTAATATTTTGAACTTCACAGAATATCCACGGGAAAGATAAAGAATGATAGAATGGATAGTACTCACCAGTGAATACCATCCCCACATAAACTTTTACAGGTAGTTTCAGAATTATTGTAGGAAACCCAGAATTTTCTATTGTAAATCTGTTGGAATACTTCAGAGATGCATGAGGAATTTATCACTATTTCTGAACTGTACAATTTCATTTTTTTTTAAGGTAATAATAAACATGGAAGATAGTGAGGGCTAGTGGGGCAGTCTGACAGAACAAAACATTGCTTCCCTGGGAACATTTATGTTCCATAAACCCACCCAAAAAAGTTAGCACAGAAGAGCTATGTTATCTTTAAAGACCCAAACACAAATGTATGCACACCTCCACCCACCCAACAAGTAGTGTTCACTTCTACTAGTTCAAGAAAAAGTCAAGGTATTATATTCTCATCTGTCTGAGCTTATCTATCATGCAATGCCAGTTCTTCTGACATCTCTTGTTGGAGTAATACATTCCAGAAGAACAAAGAAGTAATTCATAATAGCAGATTATATAATAGAAATTAATAAAAAATGCAACAGAGCACTATTTAACTGACCCACTTCACCTTGAAAAAAAGTTCCAATTAGTTAAGTAAAAATATTGTATAGGTGAATTCCTGGCTCCACTGTAATTCATGAATATTGGAAAGAGGATCTCTTCCTGATAGTCTTCTACAAGCCCCAAAGCCTGATCTTGCAAATATACAAGATGAGTTTAATCTTATTCACATGATAGATCACTTCAATGTAATTGCCCAATTACAGTTTGCAGAATCAGGCTCTCACATGTGTATTTTTACTAGTATAGTTACAGATTTATACCCAATAACAGGCATTAATGGATAAAAAAGAACAAATTATAAGTTGCTGTGCATCAAGGTTTCTTTGACTTCCATAAGAGCAAGCAAACATTAACTTCTTTATGCATGGCAATTACAATTCATTAGGATACAATTCTCATGCTTCTGCTCTAGAAATTTTTTTCTCCAAATGAATGCATTACATAAAGGTCAGTAATCAGTGAATACTTGGAGTTTTTTAATTGTATTTCTCTCTGGGAGGCAGAAGGCAGCAATAAATAGATACAATTAGAAAACACAAATGTTCTTTGCAAGATAAATTTCAGGACTAACACAAGCTGGCAGAAGCATTGACTATCATTTTTAAAGCTGATAGTTCTTCATTGTAGAGTGTCTACATGCAGCATTACAAATTTGATATAAATCAGCTGCAGAGGCTAACTAGTCCTAATACAGCAGATTACTCATAATCATAACATATCTTAGGCTCTGTACAAAAAGAATTATGTTTTTATAGCCTAAAGATACATTAACTTCTGTATGTACAACTCATTTTCCCTGCCACAAAAGGAATATCAGTTTTAAGGGTTTACAGTAAACAGGAACGTGGCAGGTCAAATTCAGGTCACCTTACTTGAAAAATTAATCCTCCTGATTTCAATGTGATTTATGTAAAAGTGAAATAAGTCATATTTGGCTGTGGTACAGAAAGCCAAGAATGCTACATCCAAATGAACTGCAAGGAATCAGAATGAAATTATAGGCTGTAATTACTAAAAACATATTATGAAGTTACTATGCTTATGTAAATAAGCTAAACGTAATTACCAAAATTACATTTAACCCAGGTATTAACATTACCATCTTTCATAAACACTTGTGTCAAGGATTTAATCACTAGTGATCAAGACCTTGGTGCTATGCTGGTTCCAGAAAACTCTGTTTTCTGTAGAAGAGATTCTTTTAATCAATACTCAGATTTTGGTTTGAAGTCAGAATGCCACCTTCCAGACTGCTAACCTCAGTTCCTATAGCAAAAGACATTTCCCTTTAAATACTTTGATCAAACAACCTGAAAAACTAGTTTCATCTGGAATTCTAAACCTTCATTTTTCAAAGAAAAGTTAAATATATTTGGTTTTTAGAATATTCATTCCACTGTTCTTCCTGGTATTTTATTTCATAACAACTAACTGCAGTTATTTTACTGTAAAAAGATAAATCCTGATATAAATAACACCTCAGCTGGTTACACATTCCCAATTAATAAGTCATAAACAGCAAGTTTTATATTCGCTAATTAGCGTGATGTTTGTTCCTGATTACACTTTTGTTAAACTTAGGTGTCAGCTTTTCCATATGTCCCTTCTGGAGGTCTGTAGTACTTTGGGAAAGCCATCAGCTGTATCATGTTGAATGCATACTTTCTGCATTTGACATTCTTCAGTACATTCTCTATGCGGCATCCTTCTCTAGTGAAAGGGGGAAAAAGTACAACTTCATGAAACACAGAATAAATAAATATGCTTTATTTGTTCATTGCAGAGTTTCAGCAACAGTTGAAGTAAAAATAACAAAGATTCAACTCTACATTTTTGTTTTCCACAAGTGATGATACATCTTACAAAATTAAATCCAAGGCCAGGCCCAGTACAGTTATTGCCCTCAGAAATAGGTGATTTTCCCCCCCAAATACATTTGCCCTTGAGGTTTAAAGTTTAGTAAAAAAAAAATAAAATTAAATACTTTAATGATACATTTTGTTCTAATTCCAGAAATATATTTGCTTTTAAACTTTTCATACTTTTTTTTTCCAGATTGTTATATGTGTGACAGTACACACTGCCCTAAAAATGCGTATTCTAGGAATAAGGCATCTTATTAAGTCTGGCCCTAGAGATCTGTGAAGGAAAGTTTCATCTTTGCTGCATTTCCTGTACGTTCAGCTTTGCAATGAAAAAAGAAAAAAGAGAAAATGGCTTTTCAAACAGCCCGATCCAACTCTCCGCTTTGTAAAGGAAGGATGTGGGTTCACATACAGTACAAAAGTCACAAGTGCCAAAGTGGTGCATCAAGACATGAACAGGACTTTGTTAAAAAGAATATAAAAGTGTCTTGAAAGCAAAAGCAACTAAAGCAACAATTACAAACAGGTTAATTTCATTACAAACCAGAACTTACTCTATTCCATTTAATTACTTGATAGAAAGGGGTTAGTTATAGCAAAGTAATAATCGTTTGTTAAACGAAAGAGATCCTGTCAGCTAAGAACAATGAAAATGACACAATGAAAGTTAAGTCTCACAAACCACCGCCCTGTAATACTTGTCTAGGGGTTAGTTTGTGCTGTGCAAATTCATTTTTAATTTATTTTTTTTTTTTGTCAGACTAATTACTCTGGAAAGAAGGGTTCAAGCATTCAGGATTCACATCATCTTGTATACAGTGACAGCATTGTAAATGGGCTTTCTTTGAGCTAATTACAGAGGGAAAGCTTTACCAGGAACAGAAAGACCGAAGAAATTCACTCAATGCATAGTATACTTCTTAAGAGTTCAGAAAAAAAATAAAAACAAAAGCCATTATACATTTCAGACATTTGTATCTTAAAGACAAATTCTTGGGTCTGAGACTGTAGAGATATTACAGCATAATCCCTTTTCCTAAAGTTAGTTTGTTGCTGTTTGTAGAAAAGAAAGGAACACAAGTGGAGTTTATTGATATTTGGCTAATAGCAAAGCAAGACTTAAAATAAGCCACACAACCAGCAAGTGTGAGCTGACAAGCAGCAAGGCGACAGGATAGAAGTGTCGAGAAGTTGGCTTGTTATCAGTTAGACAGCCTGTTTCGGGATCATCCGATTCAGTCAGTGCTCCCTGGGTTTGTCTGCTGTTAAACAGGGGAAGTTAGGAACAAACAGAACAGCATTTAAACAGCAAGGAAAGCCAACATGTAAGTATATCGACAAAGAGAAACTATATAGCTATTTTGATGAAATAGATTTAGGTTAAGTACTTCTGATATATTTACTGTGTTCTACTGCTGACCTGGGGAGCATGATGATTAGGTGGCTAACATGTTATTAAGCCTGTCAGATGCCTCACAGTAGTATTCACAAGTTAATACTAAAAAACTTAAGAGATGAACTGTACTATCACTAAAATGAACACACACATGTAAAAGAAATTAAATAAGTTAAACAAATAGTTAAGGAAGTGAAAAATAAGATCACAAACATGTCACAATGCAACACTGACAAAATAAGTGTCTCCATGGTGTTCACAGGCTTTTCAATCCTGCTTTACTATCTGTTAGGAAATATATAGGCAGAAATAGAAAGGGCACATACTCTGTTTTAAAGAATTAGCTATTCTAAAATAGTTTAAAATTATGATAAATTGACTTCATAAAAATTCACCAGTGCTGGTGACTCAGTTCTGATGTCAACAGCAGTTATTTTATTTACAGGTTCACACCTACATTCCTGCAAGAAAATTACTTTGTACCTTGTTCAATCACCACACTGAGGAACTGATCTGCTTTCAGTGAAATTCTACAGAATCACTGTATGTTGTGCCATCACTTTGCTATCAGAGCAGCAGGGATACTTTGAAATCACTGCTTTTCTATTGTAGTCTTGGTAGTTTCTCTACTAGAAGATTCATTAATACTTCAACTCTTCCTCTTCAATCCCTCTTAACTTAACTTTATTTGCATACACTCAGGAATCCTGTTTGTGGACTTCCTCTGGCTAGAAAAGACTGGTAAGATTTTTATTTTTCTGTTTACTAGGAATAGTCTGGAATGAAAAGATAACTCACCAGTTTTCTCTGTGGATTAAAGAATATCCAAATAGATCAGATTACAACACAGTGCTTTTTCAGAAGCACATGTCCCAGGTGTGCTGTATTTTCAAGAAAGAAAATGCTGGCAGACCATAAAGAGACTGTAGGTCAGTAAAGGTAATATCACACAGTCCTAGGTAAAATGAGATGGGTTCATAGAAGACAGCAGCAGTGTCTTCATCTCACAACATGCCTGCCTTTCTGACTCATCTGTTAAAATGCAATATTAAGTTTCTTGTGCTTAGCATGAGTCATGCATGAACTGCCTTTGCAAGTGGGATTCTAGGGAAGGGGCTGATCAAAACTATTCCTTGCACAATTTTCCTTTTAAAGAAGCCTTTCATAATAAGTTCTTACCCTCTTTCTTTGCTTTGAACATTCAATGTGTATGTTACACTAATAAAGAGGACAAGCCATACTATTTTAAATAGCAAAACAAAACAAAACAGAAACACCTCCTGATATTTGAATCTAGGTCAAAGCAATTACTGGTGTCAGAGTTTCTGCTGCTTTTGGTCTACAGTCTTCAAGTGTCTTTGGATAGAACTTGGACAGAATTCAAACAGTATTTTAGACAAAATCCTCTCAGAAACTGTCAAGGCATCAAGCTAACTGTGAGCTATTCTGACTTTATCACACCATGGCTTATGCCAAAATAAGTAATTCTGTTCTGTATCAGACTACTCCAGTTAATGCCTTTGTCCTATGGTCCACCCCCAGAAATTCCTTCCTCTTCTGCTCACAGAGATAATGTTACGGTTTGTGACCATTTGTGAAGATTAAATGCATTGGGCTTTGTTAATTTTCTCCTTTATCATATATGTTTCCATACTTTTACAAGCATGCTGCTTGCTTGCTTCTTTAACCTCTACAGGATCTCACAAGTCTGCCTCTTTAAGCCTATTGTACTTGCCCCTCACCCCATTTCTACTCTTTAAGGTTAGCCTGACGGTTTCAGCCTACCCCCATTATGCCCACACCCAAGAGTTCAACCTTCACAATCCCACCTACTCCTTCTCTGTAACTGAGCCCAGGTGTTTTTGGACTCTCCTTCTGGGTGCCTTCTAGCACAGATTCCATATGGGCACCTATGGCAGAGCAGATGAAGGGACCACTGTCTTTTCCTCTCTGACCACATCCATCTAGGAAGCAACAAAGTTCAGTGTCCAGTGAATCTGCACAGCCACTGCATGAGCCACTGCTAGGCACTTCATTCCAGAGAGTCAGCAGTTTATTCTAAGCAGTTACACACTTGCAGGTTGCCCTACAAGGATGAACCCTTCTGTAGTGTGCCTTGCACTGTTCTGCTCCATATCTCTTTGACAGTGAGACTGCCTTTTATTTATGTTACTACAAGTCCCATTAGCATTGATGAGGCTTAAGCAGATGTAATGCTGAAAATACAGATAAAAGCAATATGTTCTTTCTTTTTTTTTTTTTTTTTTTTTCCCCTCAACAGAAAAGCCTGCAGTACATTTATTCTTTGATAAGCAGAAAAGAATGATCATTGTCCTTCAACCTAAGAAGTCCTATCTTCTCCTCAGGAAAACCACAGTGAACAGCTGATGCATAGGGACTTCTGTTCCACAAATTAGTAACATCACGTTATGCATGATTCAGTAAGACATTCTCAAAATAGAGCAAGAGGATCCAACCCCATTATTAGCTACCTAGGAACAGGCTGAGCAGAATAACTAAACGTATTTCAAATTTAAGAGGAATATTTGATCACGGTCAGATGCCTTGCTAAGCTCTGCTAATACTTTTCAACGCACTGCAGTGACAATGTCTTCTAACACATCTTAAAGTGTTCTGCACAGTGACTAATGTATCTAGTTAAACAAAGCGAGGCCCTACACCCAGCTCTCAGCAGCGTGACAACACTGTTTTCCCTGGCTCATCAAAACCTGTAGAAGCTTTACTGCAAACAGCATGAATCCAGCTGGTGCCGTGTCAGCTGGATTTATTTGGCTTCTGACTGACGCTCAGCACCCACAGAACAGAGTGGTATCTGATCCTATTATGGTGTGAAGGTATAGCCATAGTTTTGGATGTTCTCTCCATCACAATACGTACACTAACAGCTCTGAACTCACACTAAGGGAAGGAAGATGACTCACAAAATATCCAGCAAAATTTTGTTTCATACATACACAGAAAATTTTAATAGGAGTAGTGAAAGCTTCTCAATCCGTAACATCTGGGGTAACAAACACTTCTCTAACCTTTATTAATATATCTTTTTATTAATTTACTTTCAAATTGTTCATTGGAGACTTACAACATAGCACAAATACATCATAACAGCCAAGGGTGCTGTAAGTTTAATGATGATATAAACATTTCAGTCTGCCTTCTATCTCACTTGCTGCTTTATCATCTTAAGCTCTTATTGGGAAAATGCTGCATGCCTATCAAATGAGACAAGCAAAACAGCAGGTATTTTCTGTTGATTGTTTTAAGTCCTAAGCAGCAGAACAGAGACAATGAAAATGGTGTGAGGTAAAAAGAAGCCTCTCAGGAGTCCTTAAAGTCAACTGCACATATGAAGACACACTTTGGCTTTTGATTATCAGTCTCACTGACATGCCTGCACAAGGTTTTTGGAGAAGATGCATTTTAACATT